TTCTTCTTCTTCTTCTTCTTCTTTTTCTTCTTCTTTTTCTTCTGAATTGCTTCCTGGAACTCGGATATTCTCCTCTATTGGCGATATGGAGCGTTTTTGGTTATGCATTTTAAACATTCAGTTGCAACAGCTTAGGATTCACCGTACGAATGTTTCGCATGACGAACTCGGTGATGAAACGGATTAAGTTTGTTAACCGAGGTTCCAATGTAGATCATAGCCTACATGACCGGTATTCTGTTTGTATAGGTCTAGTCTCTTCATTTTGAAATGAATATAGCAATTATATGTTCTCGCTATCGTTGTATGACGCCACCGTTTTTCTTCCTGTTAGCCACCGAGGTCCAGCAAGTAAGGGACGAAATCACGAAACTCTTGGAACTCTGCTTGACACCGTCCTCCAATGCCTCGGATGGATGTCGCCACTTGGACTCCCAAACGGATCAAATCTCACACCAACTGTTGTCACTCATGCATCGTTTCCAGAAGCGTATCCTTCTAACGGCCTCGGAGTCGAAGTTGCACGTCTTGGGAATTTCACTTCTATGCATGTGGGTGGTAAGTGACAACCCCCAATTTCGCGTCGTACGGTTTTCTCTGTAAGTACAGGGTGTCCCAAAATTATTTGCAGCTTTTAAAAGTTAGATAATTTCTTTTAACATAAAATGTAACCCTCAACCCCATTGGTTGGTGATTTATTTGTAAAAATGTTTTTACACAATGCTTACTGTAGAGAACAGCAGTGCAGTCCGTTGTGCGCCGAGATTTGCACGAAAATTTGAATTTTACTGCCTATCATAGGAGCCAAATCCCTAAAATAAAACAAAAACAAATCAAAGATACAGTATTGCGAGTCCTGCAAGCAACTTGCGTTAATTTGTAAATGTTCGATAATTTCTCCCATACCAGCGAGAACGCATTTACGAAAACTTATAAATAATAATGAGCAGCGTTAGGCATATTAAGCACTTAAAAGAACTATAAGAAGTACTAAGCGTTTGTTAAGAAAAATAAAGTTTTCTCGATCATTCCCTGGCTGTGGAGACGTCAGAAATAGCTATAAATTAGAACAATAAATTTAAATATTTTGTTAAGTATAAAACTTAAAGCAACCACTTTCATTATATAAAAAGAACTTCTCTTTAGTCAAAATATTTTGTACAAATGATAATTAGTGGATAAGTATTTATTGAATATCGTAAAATAAAGTCTCTCCCCATTTCGCTCGTTTACGGTGTCTTCATTGATAAGTTGATAAATTGTGTTTCTGTTCGAGGTTTACATTAAAACCTTTAAAATAAGATATAACTGAACAGCATTTACCGAAAAGAAGAGCTTCTGGATATAATTTCCTATGCAGATGGTCATGCAGGTCAAATGTGGAAATGCTTCAAAACAGCAAACCACATTGTCGAGCATACAACACGTCTGCTAGATACCGCGCATATTGTTATTCTTACGATTAATAAAAAACCTTCCATAATATGTTACCTCTTTTAAAAGTGCTTTGACTGGATATTTAGGTGACGAACTTCAGTCTATATTAACTTTTTCCAATGTAATGTTCCAGTGAAATGGAGACTTTTGACAATTTCTGCAAATATTCCCATTCTTAAGTTTAGAACTCAACTTGGCAAACATATGTTTACAGCAAATCATCATCAGGCCACAACATTTGTAACAACATTTGACCCTGCAAATGCTGTGGCCTGATGATGATTTGCTGAAAACATACGTTTGCCAAGTTGACTTTTGACATTTTTTTTAATTTACCTGAAGAAAAGTGATTAACTTTGACTGGAGATGAAAGAACATATCTTTCTCTTTATAACGGATTATTTTCCGTTGAAGGGGATTAATTCCACGATCCATAATAAGCGCGCGAATGCAAAAAAACAGGTATTTTTTAAAACACTTATTATTTCTCTGTCTGTTTCGTTTCCAAATAAAGCTTGATCTGAACGTATTGTTTCCAAAAAACTATAGTTCTACATGAATTACATTCAATAAGGCCTTCTAGATGTTGTATACGCGGTATTATATGGAAACTTTGTTTACGCGCAAGGTGAGCTGTGCGATAAAAAAACGTTCTACCAATATCTTTTTGTTACTGCATTTTTTGCAAAAAACTTCACAGAATGGCTAAACATAATTTTTAAAACTTGCATCACTGCTTATTTCTGAAAATAAATGCGATTCCTTAAACTTCGCTTCAGTTCCATTTGATAAACTTCGCACAAAACTTTCCAGTTCTCCGAGGTATTATTATTCCACCTTTTTTTTACTAATTATGGGATTCTTTCACAACACAATGTATATAAGAAGTAAGTTTGGTTCTGCCTTTCCTTATAGCATAGGGAATTTCTTTAATATAAAATTACTCATGATTTAGCCAACATGATAGCATTTTTTCGCCAATAATTTTAACTAAGAGGGCAGTTTTCCAAATCAAATCCCTTCATATTATTAATCCACTCAGTTGATCAAAATAACCTGTCCAGATATACGCTAAACTACCAAGTTAAATTTCCTCATGAAAGCTGTTTGCAGGACTCGCAGGACTGAAGGTTCACCTTCTGTAGGATGGTCAGGGGTTGGGCTGCAGACGACGGGCGACGAGTCATATTCTTCGATGAATCAGCGTACGAACTGTTTCATACGCTGAACAAGAAACATCACGTTATTTAGACTCCAAGTTGTTACATGCTTAACAATGTTGAAGTTCTAATTTTAAGGCCTAAAGTCATGGTTAAGGGAGAAATTTCCTTGGGAGGATTCTCTGACGTCCACATTGCACCACCGGGTCAACGTATGAATGGTGAATAAATGGAGAGTCCAAAGCAAATCGTGTTGAACTGATAAGAAACA